CACGAGAACATTTTCTTTTCCCTTTGCCCATTCACAATTAGATAGACCTGCTAATTGCATCACCCTGACAAGAAGGCGGCAGCAAAAGCAGAAAGACTCTTTTCTTCACCAGTATGTGCCCAAAGACCACGCTAGTGATGGACATACGTACATAAGACTCTGCCTGGATCATGCCATCTTATCACAAGCAACCAGGTCAAGCTTCAGACACAAAGGCCAACCTAGAGGCACCGCAGTAACTTCTTTTGCCCCCTTCTCCAAATGGAGAATTCATTTCGCTAAGGCAGAGAAAGCAAGCACCACCAAAACTCGGCCGACGACCATTCATGGCTTGGATTTGTGTTTCACAGAGACCCGGCTCATATCTTGGGCTGATCAGCTGTGACGCTTGAGTCAGAGCAGCTGACAGACGCGTTTGCAGCAGCGAGGTCCCTCGATTAGCGCTGAGCAGATTCCCCTTCTCCCCCAGTGCTGGCATTTGGCGCAACTCGCTGAGCCCCTCAGCAAATAGTGCTAAAATTCCTCTCCGTGCAAACCCGAATAAACCCTGGCAAGTTCTGCTTTCATAGAGTCGGGAAGCTTTGTGCTCCTCTGCACCCAATTTCAAAGTTATTTAACGATCTAATTGGCATCATTCCACTGCATTGAGAAGACGGGTGCTGTGTAGGGTGAAGGGGCAGAGCCTCAGTGCTGGGTGAGCAGCTCCGGCTTGTTGAGCCCTTCGGCTGCCCGTGCAACCCCTTTCCTGAGGCACGGGTCTGGGATTGCAATGGGAAGAGAGAGACGTGCGACAGGACCACAGCTGCCTATGGCCCTCGGAGCATCCTGCTCCAACACCAACTCGGGAATTAGCACAAAGCTTTCTGATGGGTGATACGGGAGCAGGAGCTGAGCCCCAACATCTGTGCTACAAAGCCCATCTCATATTGGGCCAGGGAGCTTTTAGCTGACCACAGCTCCCAGCAAGTGCCTACAGCTGCACAGCCAGGAGAAGCAAACTCTCAGGAAAAGACAGTATTACAAAAAATCAGGTTCGTGTCATTCTACAGCTCCTGTACATGCCCTTGGGGTCCCAAAAATTCCCCACAAGCAGCAAACCCAGCCTGCTTTCAGAGGGACAGGAGAGGTCCGGCAATGTGCAGCCAGGTAAACAAACCCCTCTTACAGAGGCTCTGCAGCCACTTGTTCTTGCTATTTACCCTCATCCTTCCTCCTGCACATATTCTCCACACAATTTCTCTTGGGACTTTAGCTCTACAAGACAGGAGCTACCTCCATACCCTTTGCCACGCAGAAGCACGCAAGGAATATCCAAAACTTGGGCTGGGTAGGGGAGTCCTGGGTATAAATGTTGCTCCTTGCATTCACTCTCTTAGCAGAATTCCTCATCATTTTCAAATGGCTATGTTGTGTTTAGCAAGTCGCTGTAATTGGGTAGGGGAGTCCTGGGTATAAATGTTGTTCCTTGCATTCAAACTCTCTCAGCAGAATTCCCCATCATTTTCAAATGGCTATGTTGTGTTTTGCAAGTCGCTGTAAGGTGTTTAAGAATTGTATCCTCCAACCTGTTTAACACCTCCTGCTGCTACAAAGAGACAGTTTAGCCACAAAGAAATAAACCCAGACACCAGGAACAGGTAAGAACAGACAAAACGGAGGTTGCAGAAATGCTCTATCTTCCCACAGAAAGTTTAATTCATTGGGAAAGAGAGAGGAAGAAAGACAAAAGTATCTTCTGGATTAATTTAAGACACAGAGAAACGATTCTTCTTCAGTCACCTCCTTTGTTCCCACATTCCCATCACACAGACGAGAAAGGTTTGCTACCCCAAAACTACTCTTGTTAACGAAAAAAAGTAAGAAAAAACCCACACATGTTAGAAAACAAACAGCTGTCTTGACGTCCCATCTTCAGTACCCCAACGCTGCCAAGAAACCACCAAAAGATATCTCGAGCACACAGGATGCATATTCACCAGGTGTTGCTGCGGTTTTAGTACCATCATGTGCCACTTCTCCTGCAGCCACCCAAACCAACTGCTTCGCTTCTTGACTTATCCAGCTATCTGATAAGAATACGTACCACGGCGCGAGGCTTGTACCTGAACTTGTAATTAACACTCTCCTGCTCCTACAGATACAACTTGTAAAAGGCAAATCAGTTGGCAGTAAAATGAAAATAATATAAAAAATTAAAAAAATAACAAAAAAGAGGAGGATAATAGGGAAGATGAGACCACTCCAATAATAGTAGATTTTGGAAGACTTCAAATCCTCCTCTCAGTCCCTCTCCCCTCCAAAAGCTGCACTGAGGTTACACTTCAGTTTCCTTCTTTTAAGGCTTATTAGATATGTTGTGTCTGACTGTAGACTTGTATTTTTAATTTTACAAAGCAAGAATACAGAGCGCTTGCCTTTAAAAAAAAAAAAAACCAGGCATTTTTTTTCCTACATATGCTGGTGAAAGTAGCTTTTTTCCCATTCCAACAAAGCTTTGATCTCTCTGCCCTGGCATAGCCGCCTCCGTCAGAGATGGTCCCCATCCTGGGTCTGGCCGTGTTTCCCCAGGGATGCATCCCCTGGGCGGTTTGCGAGCAGCTTGGTCCTTCCAAGGTGGAAAAAAAGATTCAGCGCCCCAGGGCGGCTTTTTAATCCTGCCTAACACCTGCAGGCAACAGATGCATCAACAAGATGCGGCTTTGTCATGCAAATGGTGGGGCGCAGGTACAGACTGCAGGGCTGCTCCACGCACAAATGGCTGGGGACTGACACCCCAGGGGAGACCTCCACCTCCAGCGCTTGTTGATCTCGGCTGCTCTTTGCCCTCCTCAGGCCCGGCATGTCCCCCCCCAAAAAAGGGGAGGAAGAGCAAACCTGCGGGATGACGGTTGGGACCCCCCAAAGGTGAGCAGGCAGCAGCGTGCGGCGCTGGAGCTGTAGTTTGCCATGAAGCGAGCGAGCGTGGCATCTCCTGGATGCGGCGTTTTGATCTCGCGCGCATTAAAACCCAGCTGTCAGCTAGGAGACTAACAAAGATTATAGTTCAATTAAACAAAAAAATTATTTAATAACTCAAGCGTGTAGTCTTGTGGTTAAACTGAAAGAACTCCAGGCTTATGTCAACATTGCAGTCCTGCAACAGCACTATTTTGCCGAAATAGCGGTGCTGCTCTAACGTGCAAGAGCAACACTGAGCTAAATTAGCCCCTCAGATGTTCGGCAGGCAGCCTTACAATTAGAAAGCAGATGCGGTTCCCCCCCTTCCTCCCCTCCAACGTACCCACGTAGGATGTAGGACGGTTCCTCAAGTACCTGAGCAGACAGCCTCCACAAGAAGCCGATAGTCCGGGGGCATCGATACCAGATCAGTAAGGAGCGGCAGCCCCACGGCACGCATCCGTGGAGAAAATCCTTAGTGAATAATTAAACTGGATTTTGTTCTTCAAAGCTTTGCACCAGCACTAGGGACTTTCTTAGGAAGGTAACGTGGGAAAGAGGGGGTAAAAAAAGGTCTGAAGTTTCCTGGTCCTCAAAGGGGCAGGTTTGAGTCTCGGTGTCCTCTCGAGAAGCTGCATCCTTTTCCCCACGTTACATCCGAACTGAAGTTTTCTGTAGAGCAGCGTTTAGAACAACAAATATCAACAGATCGTGGGTCATCATGCTTCACCCTAAATGACCGTAGACCTCTGAACTGTAATTTGTACACAAAAACCCCCCAGAGCTATAGAAAGCAATATACTGCATGAGCCTTTGCATCTCTGAAACGCAAACGGTGACATATAAAAAGGGCAGATCCGTGTGTTTCCCAGTGCCAAACCGCCCTGTCATTCCGAATCCGAACATCCACTAATTTAACACGCTTCGCTACTGTCAAATCACCAATACAGATTAGGCTCCCTGTTTTTCTGTTTTTGAAGTCAAAAGCCGCAACCCCGAAGAAAAATCAAGAATGTCAGAGAGCAAAATAATGCCAGTGGTTTGACAGAGACCGCCAAGTAAAAATCTAAGAGCCAGTAAGACTGAAAACTGCTTTATCACAGGGAAATAACAGCATCCAACTTCTCATATCACAGCACATACAACTGCAGTGGCATTTTTTCAGCA